GGGGGGGGGGGGGGGTAGCAGCAGTGTGCCTGTCATTCTAATACCACTATCGCTCTAGGTCATTTTTTTAGTCATTGTTTCTTTTGTAAATTTCAAACAGAATTAAAAGAGAGCAGGTGGTTTTTCTGTTTTTAAAATAGGGTACTCATGCCCTGGTAGGGTTGCTCAGTTGTCCAGATACGCCGAGCTTGTGGGTTCGATCCCCAGTCAGGGCACATACAAGAATCAACCAATGATGCATAAATAAGTGGAACAACAAATCAGAATCTCTCCTTTTTTCTCTTTCTCCCTTCCTCTCTCTCGCCTTAAAAAATAAATTAAAAAAAATTTTAAACATTTTAAAATAAGGCATTCACTTGTGACAACATAGATGACTCTTGAAGGCATTATACTAAATAAGTCAGAGAAAGACAAGTGTCATATGATCTCACTTATATGTGGAATCTGAAAATGACTCCCCCAAACAAAACAAGCTCGTAGATACAGAGAACAGATTGGTGGTTGCCGAGGCGGGGCGGTGGCAGGCCAAATGGTACAAACTCCCAGTTGTAAAAAAGGTCCTGGGATGCCATGCACAGCACAGTGACTGCTGTTAACAATACCGTATTGCATATCTGAAAGTAGCTAAGAGTGAATCTTAATAGTTCTCATAAAGAAAAAAAAAGGAACTGTGTGGTGACAATGTTAACTAGACTTACTGTGGTGATCACTTCACAATATATATAAATATAGAATCATTATATCTGATGCTAATATAATGTTATATGTCAATGATATCTCAATAAAAATGCATATAAAACACAGGGCACTGCTGTGTTCTGGCCTCCCTGTTGGGGGAAGCTCTGACATTCTGCGATGGTCCATTCAAGACCCCCCCCCAGTATTCTGACTTTGGGGAAGGGCTGTGGGGGGGGGGGGCTGCACCTGCTCAGGGTGTGGGCGAGGGAATCACTGCTGAGCCGAGTGCCCGCCCAGGTAGCCCTCTCACCAGGCACGTCAGAAGGGGGGCACATGCCATGTTTGCTTGCTCACCAGTGGGCACGGCAGGGTGAGCAGCAGGGAGGCCGGCAGCTAGGGCCACCGTATCCCTCCCGCCTCTCTCCCATCCGCCATCCCAGGACTAGGGCAGCACCAGCGAGGCTGGGGTGAGGACCGACCTACAAGTGCTGATGCCACACTCCCCGCTGGCGTAACTGCTGTCCCAGTCTCCGCTGTTCGGGGGGTTGGATGGGCCAGGTGAGCGGGATCCGGAACCGCCGGGGAACTCGGAGATGTGAGGGAAGTCCTGCGGCGGGGGAAGGAGGCAGGTGAGCAAGGGGAGAGGCCGGGGCGCGTCTCAGGCACAGGGCGGCGGGGCTGCAAGTGCCCAAGGAGCTCCCAGCGGCATGCCCTCCGGCTTGCACACTGTCTCCGCTTTGCCTGGAATGCTTTTCCTTTTGCCCAGCAGAGCATGTTTTGAAAATTTAACCCTGTCCTAGCTGTACCAGGTGTGTGTGTGTGAAAGATTTTGCTCTCAGGGTCTTTTGTTTTTGGGGACTCAGTTTCCCAATCTGTAAAATGGATTTACTGGGCGGAGCGACCTCATGCAAGTCTTGGAACAGTGTCTGTGGAACCATTAGTGGGGTCAGGCCTCGAAGGCTTTGAGGAGAGCCAGGGGCCAGGGCTGAGCTGGCAGAAACCGCAGAGCCCGCAGCCCCTCAGGCTAGAGAGCAGTAGGCAGAGGGTGAGAGAAGGAGGGCCTGGAATATGCTAAGAATCTGAACATCTGTCTGGCAACTTGTCAACTCTTTGCTGCAGCCAGTACATGTCAGATGAGGTGTACCAGGCCCATTTCATTGACATGGTAACTGAGGCTCAGAGAGGTAAGGTGCCTAGGTTCTGGTTATATAGCTGGTGAGTGGTGGGGCCAGTATCTAAAATCCCAAGCTGCCTCCCTCTCCACAAAGGGTCCCAGAAGGTACATTTCTACTCAGCTCTGCTTACCTGTGGCCCTGGAGGTGAAGGGCTCATAGCCAGCTGCACCTGGAGTGCCATGGGAGTGGGCAGGACAGGAGGCTGGGGGGCTGGGGACATGCTGACAGGTGGGCTGAGGAGGGTGCCCTGGGCGTGGGGGGGCAGTGGCAGCTGCTGGTGCAGTGGGGGGCTGAGCGGGAAGGAGTGTGGTGGTGGCGGGGACGCGCTGAGGCCTGGCAGCAGAGACTTGGAGCCCAGTGTCCGCGCAAGACTGGCAGGGGTGGCCCCGCTGCGGAAGGCCTGCAGGTCTGACGGCGTCAGGAAGGAGGCCAGGCCGGGCATGGCGTACATGGGCTGCTTGGGTGGGAGCATTTTGGCTGGTGGGTTCACCTGAGCGTTCTTGGTCTCACTCTGATCCGGCGAGCTCTGGAAGGAGACAGACACTGGTCACTCTGGAGAAGATGGGGAATCCAGAACTTGGGCTATGAGACCAGGAGGTTCTGCAACCCACTGACATGACCCCTTGCTGGCTCCGGTGCCTTTGGGGAGATCTGTGGACTTACTAGAGATAATTCAGGGTCCTTAGTGCACTTGGCTCTGACCATCCAACCAGCCCCTGCTTTAATCCTAGGGGCTCCCCTGCCTATGGAGAGACCCACACTCCTCAGCCTGGCCAGTGAGGCCCGCATCATCCAACGGGGCCGTCCTCTCTTTATGCTCCTCCCAGCCTCTGTGCCTTTGCATGTGCTGTTCCCTTGACTTGGAGCACCCTCTTTGCTTGGCCCTTTATGGCTTAACCCAGATGCCATGTCCTCTGTAATAGCTTCCAGACAACACCCCTATTCCCACTTGGGCCACATGTCCACCACCATCCTGAGTCTCCTGCCTGCAGTGCTGGTGTTGACAGAGGAGGCAGGCAGTATGGTCAGGCGTAAAGGCCAAATTTGAAGAGTGGCCAATCCAGGTTTGACTTCTAGTACAACTACCTAACACGCTGGATAATTTCAGGCAAGATGCTTAACCTCTCTGAGTCCTGGGTTCTTACTGGAAGAATTAAATGAAATGAGACACATGTAAAGTGGCCAGCACGAGCCCAGCACACAGCAGGTGCGCTGGAGATGTGACCTCAGTATCCCTCTTTCCCGTGGGCCTCAGCGCCTGCTCCACCCCCAGTGGTCCCACACTTATCAGGCTGTGCCGAGGATTCCAGGGTTACCTTGGAGACCAGGCTAGCCCGGTAGGCTGCCAGAGCCTTCAGATATTCCTTTTTTGCCGCTTCGGTCTTCCTCTTATAGGCCTGAAAGATCCAAGACATGAGCAGCATTGGGGAGAGGTGAGGTGTTCAGCCTGAGGTTGCACTGCTGCTAACTGGCCTTTGCCTATGAGCTATTTCTACTCCCAATTTTCCCTGGAGGCCCCTGAGAGGGGCACCTGGGCACATGGTCAGTGGGATAGGAAAGTTCTGGTCTGGACCCCAGACCAGGTGGACTGAGATGGACTGAGATGTTCTCATCTAATAGATGAGGAAGTGGAGGCCCAGAATGGTTAAGTCGCTAGTGAACATGGCTGGAAAACAGCAGAAGTGGAAGGGACCTAACTCCCCATCTTACAGATGGGCAAACCGAGCCTAGTAACAACCTCGGCAAGAGCCCCTAGTTTCAGGCTTTCCAAGTCTGTTGTCGGCTCGGGGACACCAGAGCCTTGGGGGGATGGCCCAGAAAGGGATGGAGACTCACCTGCTTCTGCTCCTCTCCCAAGCTGTCCCACATGGAGGCCACGATTTTGGACACATCCCCAAAGGTGGCGCTGGGGTTCTGCCCCTTTATGGCAGCCTGAGTGTCCCTGAAGAAGAGAGCGTAGGCAGACACCGGCTTCTGTGGCTCGTTGGGGTCCTTCTTCTTCTTCTTCTTTGGGTTCTTGGCCTTTTTTCCCGGGTCAGCCGATGGTCTCTTCTCTCCTGACATCTGCCCGGGTGAGGGGAGTCAGAGAGCTGGAGGCACCGGGGACTCGGGCCAGAGGGGACCCACCCCAGCCTCAGGCTCAGTGGCCCACCCGTGCTGGTCAGGCCCTGTTCACATACAGGCGCTGACCACTCCAGGCTCGAATGTGGGAAGCCTGGGCCATGCTGCTGGGCTAACTGCTCCCCAGATGGGGGAGGCCATGGACAGGCAGACACAACAGACACACACACACACATCTGGGACAGGAGCCCCAGTTTTTTCTGTTAAACTCATTAATGACAATTGGCATGATGGTCAAGTTGATTCAGAGAAATACAAGAGATAGAGAAACTGGTTAACGCCCCATAAAGCAATAAAACTATAACTTTTAGGGCTTAGTTTAATCTTTTCTACTGGACAGAAGTCATTTGCTTCTCTCCAGGGAAAAATGAATTCTCTTTGTAATCAGACAAAACCCGTTTACATCTCCATCACCTTTCCCTCGAGTTACCCTTTACAGAGTATAAAATCCCCTAATCAGTAATGAAGAATAAATCAGAATAAAGTTACTTAACCTCCCTGTGCCTCAGTTTTCCCATCTGCCAACGGGAGGTAGTAATGGCCATAGAGAGTGTGAGGAGGATTACACACACCAATACTTATGATGTGCTTAGAACACTGGCCCGTGGAAACTGCTTTACAAGTATTTTCTAAATGAAAAAATAAAAGAAAAATCACCCCTGTCTGCCTTATGGTAGAGACCAAGTTATCCTGATGATGGAACTGGACCAGGATCCAGAGGCGCCCACCCCGGCCAGGAGGTCAGGGTCTCCGCTAGGTGGCGCGGGTGCCATGGCTGCTGCCCAGGCCTCCGTGGGGCCACCACGTGGAAAGGGGTGGGAGGCCCGTATGAAGAAGAAAGCGGCGGGAAGTGTGGGATCAAGTTTTGATTCTGCCGCTAGGGGGTTGGGAGACTCCCGCAAGCTCGTCCATCCTTGGCCCTCCTGGGCCTGTTTTCTGCCCCAGTTAAGCCAGATGCCCTCCACCAGGGAGGGAGATTTGGTCAGTGTCAAGAAAGGGCCAGAGCCTGGACAGCTGGTGAGCTCTCATCCTGACGTGTGCTTCAAGAGGCGCCACCACCCTTGGCTCCAGAGGTCATGGCCCCAGGGGAGGTGTCATTTTTAGAGCCCCATCCCAAGGTCAGCGCTGCCCGGAGGCACCCTCTGCTAGACCACACATTTTTGTCAGAATATTTTCTCCTAAAAGGCCACAGTGGCCATGAGACGTGACCCTGAGGATCTTGCCCGCACCATCAATGCCCCTGAAATGACCCACTGGCCATTCAGGAATAAGACTTCATTTGCCCCCCAGAATTTTCTATCTCCTTGTTTTCCAGCAAAGGGTACACTAATCCTCTTGGGTGTTCTCTAGAGGTAGGCGATGCCTGTTTCCATGCAGGGCTCGTCATCCTGCTGACAGGAGGGCATCCTAACGCTTTGCATCGCCACCCTACCTACCTTGAAATGGGCTTCTGACTCCTCCTCTTGAGTTGAGCTGGAAGGAGAGGGGGTGGCTGACTTGCTCCCTGGGGGCGACGGGGAGCTGTGGGCGATGCCGCTCCTGATGCCCATCTGAGAAATGAGCTGGGACTGGCTGAGGGCGCTCATGTGGCTCGCCAGCATCGCTGGGCGGCCCAGCAGGGGCCCTGGCCGGCCCGAGTCATAGGCAGCCACCTCCGAGTGGACCATCTCCTGGATCTAAGAGAGGAGGACAGGGCGTTTTGAGTCAGAAAGGACCAGTCCTGCCACCATCACACGCCCATTGCAGGGGCCCAGGGGAGGGGCATGTAGGCGAGAAGTGGAGGGTGCTGGCTCCATCTGCTCTGAGCTGTGGCTTCCCCATGGATCCTTGATAGGTGAGTGTCCATGCTACTCTGAGCCCTGCATGATTTGGTGCCCAGAGGGGGGACCTGGCACAGTGACAGTTGACATTCTGTTGACATTCAACCTGGACAGTCGGCATCTTAGCCCCTGCTGGAGAGCTCAGTCAGCTGAGAAAGGATAATTTTATGATACTGAGTCTTCCCTCCTGGAACACGGTGTCCCTCTGCATGAATTCACTATGTAGCATGATAGCAAAGAGCACAGATGCTGGAAGCCGACCTGGTTTTGGATCCTGGTTCAGCCACTTATAAGCTGGGTGACTTCGGCCAAGTTACTTAACCTCTCTGTGCCTTGGTTCTTCATCTGAAACGTGGGTAATAACCTACCTTCTAGGCTATTAAGGATTAAAAGCGTCTAGCACATAGTAAGCCTTACATTGTATAAGGGTTTGTTAAATACATAGAATAAGTAAACCCCTTAATGTTTTGCATTTTTCTTCCTGTAGCTCAGTAATATTTGTATTAATTATTCCCTATGATATTTTCTAACTGGTTATTTTTGGAATATAAGAAAGCTATTGATTTTTACCTATAGGTACTTCTCATAGTAGGTACGTATTGAGAATAGTGCACGCTTTTTGTTTAAACATTACACACACATACTGTTCTGTGAGGCATACCAATTTGCATGTCCTTTCAATTCCTTTTATTTTCTCTGCATCTGCAGTTATTCTCTTTCTAATTTCTCACATCAACTATCTGTGTTTTCCTCTCACTTTTTCTTCATTAAGCAAGCTCATGGGTTTTCTTTTTTATGATGTGGGATTTTTATTTTTTTCTCAAAAGAATCATATCAATTTTTTTCACTACTTTTTCTGTTTTCTATTTCTTTAATATCATTTTAAACTTTACTGATTTCTTTCTCTGATTTTTCAAAATCCTCACCCGAGGATATTTTTTCCATTGATCCTTAGAGAGAGCGGAAAGGAGGAAGGGAGGGAGGGGGGAGAGAAAAACACACATCCATGTGAGAGAGACACATGATTGGCTGCTTCCCACACGCGCCCTAACCGGGGCCGGGGGTTGAACCGCCCTTGACTGGGAACCGAGGCCCTTCGGTGCACAAGTGGACATAACCACTGAGCCACACCATCCAGGAAAGATTTATTATTGTTGCTTCCGTCTCATTTTGAGTTATATTTTTAATTCAGGTCTTTGCATGTGGCTCCTCATCTTTCAAGTCTAAACTTGAATGTCACCTCCTCAGAGAAGCCTTCCCTGACCACTTTGTCTGAAAATTCTAATTATGTTCTATCATCATATTGTTTGTTTCCTTCATAATTTCAAGTTACAATTATTTTGTTTTTCTATCTGCTTGTCGACTCTCTTCCCCTCTGGAAGCTCCCTGAGCAGAGGCCTTGCTCACTATTGTATTCCTAGTGTGTTTGGTGCTGCCTGGAACACGCTCAGTGAGTACTTTAAAAATATTTGTTAAAGGGTAGAAAAAGGAAGGGGGGGGAGGATGCCACTCCTGGTAGGTAAAGCTCTTCAGTTGCCTCTTTTCTTGACAATGTGATGGAATGAGAGTTGTTTATGCAGCAGAATGGGGCAGAATTGGTGAGAATTGAAGATGTGACATTAATTAGCTACTTCTTTGAATCAGACTTGGGATAGGACGTAGTCATTTCCTACTGGATCAACAATCTCCTAAGAGTTTATGAGCCAGATGAGACTCGATCTCTGCATCTTTTTTCTTTTCAAGTTTCCTTTACCCTCTTAGCAGGGAAAGCATAAATAACACAATCCAAACAAAAAATGCCCAGCAAGTACAGAATAAAGTGATAGAGAATAAATAAGGATACATAAGTAAAATAGTTGTTGAAGTATGTATACAAATATTGTTCAAAAATCAGAAAAATTAATCCATACTTATTTATAAAGATAGAATTATTTGTTCATAGATATTAAACTTTTTTTTTGCTTCTTTGAGTTCCCCCGTCTTTCCTTTGTTGATCAAGTTTTATCTAGTGATTTTTATGGCACTGTACTACATCTCTAATTCCTCATGTAAGAAGAAAAATTAAGCTTTTAATTTTTCTCTCCATCAGAGGTTTGGGTTCCAGATTATTATGTTTTTCATTAAATAATTTATTTCAATCATTATTTTGACAGTTGCGTTAAGTTTCATACCATGATAACAACAGTATTTAGACATTAACTCTAGGTTTTGCTATTTCCATTGCTCACACCACTGGCTTTTTTTATACCATATATTTCCCATACTTGATCTATTTTAATTCATTTCTCAATCAAAGGTAACTGCTTCTTTAAGTAATTTTTTAACCCAAAGCTCCTTTGAAATAAGAAAAATCTGCATAATGCTATTTTTCTCTGTAAGCTACATTCACTTAATTTTGTCTGATGGTTGGTAAGCTCTTTTGAGCTGGATACTTCCTACTTTCTTCAGTTAAGTGATACTTTCTATTATTTTTTGGATTATTGCTTCTTTTCCATTGGCCTTTTAAAAAGAATTTCCTGTTAAAAACACATATTGAATCTTCAGAGTCTTTTATCTGTTCAGTCTTAATTTTGAGCTCTTTAACAGATTCCTTGGATTTTGGGAGGAAATCTTGTTATTTGATTATCTGCAGTAGTTTTCACTGCATTTTAAAATCCAATAACCACATATTTTATCTAAAAGCAATCTTTCCTGATTTCAAATTTTTCTCATTACATAGATACACTACATAATTGCAGTTTGTAAATTATGAGCAGTTCCCCCCATTTATTGGATTAGGAGCTTCAGAATGGACCTTCTTTAGAACTGCAATTTTTGTACATGTGTCCAGTGACTTTTCTCTTTATTTCTATTTCTAATAACTAGATCAGCACCTCGCACACCGAAAAACCAAATGCTTGCTGGTCCTATTGAATAAAATTAAAGCTAAAACAGCAGAGTTGTGTGTGATCTGGGAATGATGTCAAATTTAGCTCAGTGAGTCCAGGGTCTCCACAGAGGGTGAGTGGGACTCTGGGTCACTTCACTCCTGTAGTGACAAATATATTCTCAATAACTGAGTGCCAGACCTTTCATGAGTGTCTGCTCTGTGACAGACATAAGCAGACAAGAGAGCTCTGGGAATGAGAGGGCCACCCCCATCCCCACCCCACCACAGCCGCTCTTCAGGGCCTCACAGTTAATTAGGGAGACCGACCCCTACATGAAGAGAATATATGGCTGGTTATTAATAGATACAATCCAACAAGACATGGGTATAGCTACTAAGCATCTTAGATTTTCTAGGGCATTAAAAATGTTTGTCTTAATCTCCCCAAAGTAAAAAATATGCCTGTGATGTGAGGTCTGCTGTTTGAGGACGTCACTGACGTAGGCGCTGAGGTACCTGACCCAGATTCCTCTGGCCATGCTGCTGCATCCATCCCCATGCTGGGAGTGCTCGCACCGGTCCCCTTCTCCACATGTCACTGGCCAAACAGGAGCTGCCTTCCTCGAGAGGCTATGATATCCCACAACTCCACCCCCCATCCTACAGCAGACCTCAGCCACTGCTTGACTGACGCAGGGGTACAAAAGGCTGGACTCCTTCCTCTGCAGTGCCGGCGCACCCCAGAGCCCCCCAATCCTCCAACTGAGGCCAATCCTTGCCGGTTCCATCCTCTGTAGACCCTGATTCCTGCAGCCCCTTCTCTTGAGAGCACTCCCTCGCTAAACAACAAGAATCCTTGTATCAGGCTTTGCTTGAGGGGCCTCACCTAAGTCACCCTCCACCAGGTCCACCGGTTTCCCCTCTCTGTGGATGGCATCCTATCAGCATCAAATCATGCTCAGTCCTCTCCCATTTTTTCCCCCCTCTCCTGTCTTTAAGTGAAAATCTCCCTTACTTCCAGGTCTCCTAAAAGCTTCTGTCCCAACTTTCTTGCTTCCCTGCACACTCAAACTTCTTCTGAGAACCACCTCTCCTCACTGCTGTTAGGACCTCTCCTCCCATCAGCGACTCACCTGGCACATGTCTTCATTACTGTCTATACCACTATAGTCATCGCTGTCATCACCACCACCCTCATCAGGAGGAGAAGTTTCTATTAAGCACTTAATATGTGCCAGAAACAGGACTGTTTGCCTATTGTAACATTTAATCACCACAGCTACCCTAGGAGGTAATATAATCACCCTCAGCTGGGGAATCAAGGCTCAGAGAGGTTCAGAGACTGGCCCATGATCGCACAGCTACCAAAGGAGAAACTAGGTCTCTCCAGACCATCACACTTTCTCCCTTAGCTATGTGGTCCTTCCCCAAAACATGCCTCCGTCCTCGACTCCGGGGCTTGCTGCCTCCCCTGACAGCCCTCTTCCCTCTGTCCAGGGCCAGGCTCTTGGCTGTTGGCTACCTAACCATTCCCTCTTGGTCTTCTTCAGCCCACCCCTTTGGCACTGGCATTCCTCAGGCTCTCTCTCTCCAACCCCCTTCCTTTCTCCACTCCCAGGCCCCTCTCACCACTGCCCTGAGCCTGTGACTGCTACGTGGTGAGGGACCCCTGGTGGTGCCTCTAAATTCCTATGTCTCACCTAAGAAAGGGTTTCATTTAAAGGCAATGTCAGGCTGTAAAAGAAAAACAGGTGAGCTCACAAGAGAGGTACAGAGTGGTCAGACAATGTCCATCCCTCCACACGTTCTAGAACACTCTATTAGCTCACAGAACCCCTTCCCCAGTCAGAACCCACCCTCCTCTGCCCAACATGTTCAGCAACCACTGCCTTTTGTCCTAATCAGCTATAGCTGATGCTGTGCGGGCCCTGCCCTGTGCCCTTGGCTGACCTTGGAGGTCACCCCTCCCCCCCATGGCAGAAGGTTA